TGATTTATGCACGTTGTGTATAGTCCCGCAATATCAAAGGAGCTTGTAAAATCAATATCAAGCATGATATTTTTTCCAACAACACGCGTGATATTGCGAGCGCATGAGAGCGGAAAAATATCAGTTGATTTCTGTTTTTGCCAACACTGGTTACAATTCCTATCATCCTCCGCAGAGATTGATATAAGTTGACCATACAGATGATGCAATTATTTTCTCTTTTTTATTTCGTGTTCTGTCCATACGCTTTCCACTATACCAGTAAGCCTTTTATTTATATAACATTGTAGAACGACTCACACAATTGCCTCGAGTCTCTCCAGCAGAAAAGCATATGAAGTCGAGCATGAGAGGAAATGAGCGCTTCTTGTTTGCTTTTAGCCTATTTTAGAAGTATGGAGAGAGCAGTGGAGAAAGCATAGGTGTGATAATCGCAACGTTCGTTGTTCGAGTCCCCCTCCCCATTTTTTTTTCGACATGATTAATATCACTCACTAATACACTCAACATTTTTTCCCCCATTTTCTTGCATCGGACCGCAGCTCGGTTTATCGCATCCTCGGTTAATGCGGTGTCCACTAACATCCTCCAATGATGAATCCCATATAATTGTAAGCGAATCTCACATCCCCCGGTTGGGTGTATATATCATAAATGGGTGCTTATGCCGAAGTAGTTCTCTACCGTACTGTGAAGAATCTGAAATCACTGAAGATAATGAAACTCGAGGATCGTAAATGTGAACCATACCATTTTGCCCGAGTGAACCTAAAAGTTATATGCCCAGAGTTTATTCGGAAGTAGAAACGTGAGAGTGGAGAAAAAACACATACTTTAAAACCTCTTCCTGTAATATACATATTAGTTATAAGATATCATTATAATATAATATAAGTGTCGATAATAAACTACTACAACGGGATGAGACTAGTCGAAGTAAGGCCGTCAAAAAATGATTATTTTCGAAATATTGAAAAATTGTTACTTTTTACCCTTTTTTGTAAACATGTTCTGAAATAAAAATGAGTAAAAATTATTCATTACTGATTCAGTGCGAAGTGATTATGCATTATAGGGCACAGCACTATTTCGGCATATGGGACCCATTTCCGTCATGGGCGTTAAAAGCAATGAATACAAACAGCTTATATTCAACATTCTTGCATCAAATGCTTTGCTCACGAGTTACATTACGAATACTTTAAAATAAATTGTACATAGCTGTCAGACGACTGATTTAATGTAAAGTTAGGTATGCTGAAATGCGGTCACACCCTACTGCTTATCCGACTGAACAATGAACAAATCTTTGTTTCTAATGTATAGTAGAGTTCATTCTACAAAGTTGTTATTAGAAACAAAGACTTTGCTTTTTGTTTAAAACAAATCTCTTGGAAATGATCTGATTTTTTGTCTATGTGTGGACCGCCATTTTATTACATCATGGAACAATGGATTCGTCAGAGGAAGATGTGATTGAAGAGCTGGAGGTTGAAACGCTTGGTACGGAACTATTTAAATTATTGAAATCATTCGGTTTGAGCGAAGCAGTAGTCGGTGCTTTCATAGGTAAGAAAATTCTAAATTAATACATTTTTGCCGTTTAAATAATTGAAATTATTTCAGCGAATCGATACTCAGTTGATAGCTTGGAAATCATCGAGCGGAAGGAAGTGGAGGATCTTATTCAGCAGCCATTTTTAGCGGAAAGGACAAAGTGCATTCATGCGTTGAATTCATGGAGAAAAATCCTGGTAAGTGATGTTTAATCTTCAAGTACGCCCAAAGCTGATTTCACTTTATAAATAAACAGAATCTTCCGCCGTTAGCTGAATCAACGTCTTCTATTTTTTTTTCACTTGCGCCGCTTGCGCTTCAGCAATCAGATGTAACGAGAGCTAACTGTACAGCAACTTTTTTGATACAAACATCCGCAAGAGGCCAAACAATCCTGAAAAAATGTGAAACAAATAAACATTTTGCAAGATCTGACAAGCGCATCATAACGCAAATCGTGGTCGACGAGTTTAAGGACCGTTTTTCCATATAGACTCCCGACTAATTGAAAAGTAGAGCAGTTGAGCTACGTCACTATTTCCGAGTGAACCACAGGTATTTTTTTCAAATAACACTTTTTAATCTCCAGTTACACTAATTTTCAGTTCATTATTTCAAGAGGAACATGTGAAAACATCATAACAGCTTTTTGTAAACAAGCATTTGTATGCCCTTTTCTTGTGAACCGAAGTTCACTCACGCAAACCAACAACATCATCGGGTAGGGGAAACTTTAAACTTCCGGATGTTGGTTTCTGTGGTGACCTTCGGTTGACGAGAAAAGGGCCAAAGTAAATCAAAAATTATTATTTAGATACTGCAATTTTGTAAGTATAATAAATATTGTTTGACATCCTAAAAATGATTTAATTTTTTTGATTTAAGCTAAAATTAAAAGAAACAATTAATATGGAAAATAAATCAAATATCAGGTTATTTACATCACATGCTCTTTTTTTTAGAATCAACAAAATATTTTCTTTGAAACAAAAATCTTTTTTTTTTTTGTTTCAAATAGAAGCGCGTGATTGGAACAAAATATATTTGTTTTGATTCAAGAAACGTCATGATAGAATCAAATAAAAATATTGTTGAATTTGCTCACAGTCACATGGAAAGTTGATTCTAAAAACAACAAACAGTTTTTTTTAATCTAGGGTTTTTGATCTAATTTCCGTCCTACTAAGCACAACGCGCACTTTACCTCTATTTTCTGAACGAGTTTTAACTAAAAATGGAATATTTCTGTCAAAGATGACTTCTAAATTTATTCACCTTTCCATACGTACCGTTAGATTTGATAAAGAGTCACAAATTGTTGCGATATTGTTTAAAATCTAATACTGCTTCTTGATTCTAAATTCGTTCTACGAGTTTCAATTCCGTCCAAACGCATTGAAACGCCATTAGATTTTCTTCGTCCTACGGATAAACGTAGAAAAAGGGGATTCGCTAGGAGCGCTTCTTTTGTGTTGAGAACAATGAGCGTAAATATTCATACAATGCGCTCTAACAGGATTTATGTTGTAGCTAATGAACTAACGCATCGGAACAAACCTATTTTTGATTTGTGCACGGTGAAATCATTGATATTATTGATCTTTTCTGATCGATAGAACGGAAATGGGCGATTACGACGAAGTAGCGCTCTACCCTATTCACATTTATGTTTGATTCATAGAAAAAATGTGCATAGGCTCTGAGTCTACAATATTTTTTGTTGAATTCAAGTGATTTATTATTGAAATTAAAAACCATTTCTCTGTGTGAAAGCATGGACAATTGCTTCAAATCCCAAAAAAGAACTGTCTACGTAGTTTATGAACAGCCCCTAGAATATGATTTTAAGGATTATTCAATCATTATTCAATACGCTTCTCTCCCACTTTATGAATAATTTGCAACTACGCCTCTTACTTTAAATAATTCGTCTTTATTTATTTTCAACATCCTTGCTTAAGATACTGCTGAGGTTAGGTACCCTCCAAGGTAAGACAAGCCGTGATAAAGTCCCCCTTACTTCATTCGTAATTTTCTCATGACACAATATGGTTCAATGCTTAAGGGGTCTTCAAAAAGATAAAAAGATGGCATGGCCAATTAAGTCTTTAGGAGATGTATACAAACCATTAGCAAGTAGGGGAAGGAGGGTCATAGTGAACAGGTGGGGCTTGATGAGCATGCCGCAGTGCAGTTCCAAACTTCTTATTGTACAAATCAAATTGATTGGTTGTATGTTCAATATCACCATTGCAATCATTATTGACCAATTAATTTGTTTCAAATTATAAGAAATCCAAGGCTAAAGCACAGGAAGCTCACTACGCTCTTCTTCCTCTAATTGGTCAATAATCATTGCAATGGTGATATTGAACCTACAACCAATTAATTTGATTTGAACAATTAAAAGCTTAGAACTGGAATGCGGGATGCTCATTAGCCCCACCTGTTCACTATGCCCCTTTTACCCTTAAGAAACAGAGAATTCATTTCAGGACTGGACATTAATTATGCATAAAGTTTAGAAGAGTGTAGGGCAACCAATCTGCGAAATTTCTAAACTAAACTAAAATCTAAACAAAAACTTTATACGTGGTTTATGAACAGGCAAGGACGGAATGATTTTCCCGTGACGGCATTCTGAAATGCAACCCACGAAATTGGGGTCAAGCAAAAAAAAAAACAGTAATCTTATTCCGCGCATAAGATTTTCTATTGTAATTAACTTTATATGCATGTTTCAATTCAAATAATTGTTCAAATACTTTAAACTGACATGTCCATAAAGGATGCGTAACATATTTCAAAAAGAATCACGCTGTTTTGTTTGCTGCGCGTATTTTTAGCATAGCCACTGGCGTCTGTAAAGATGCTCATTTGTAATAAGTTTTCCTTACAAAAAACGAAATGTTTATCATTGTTTATATTTATGCAGCACTCATTTTGAAACCATAAACAATGGAACTCCTAACGAATTAAGACTCAATTATGTATTTGATTTACCCAAATCCTCCGTTTTGTTGCGAATGCGCGGAATTAGGCTGTGCGCAGAATTATGGTGGTTTACGGTACTATAAATATGTAAGATTTGAAATACATAGGGAGTTATTCCGAGAGTCGAAGTGACTTTTGTCACTTCGACTTTCGGAACAACCCCCATAGAACGCACAATCTTTGAGGCGACACACATGCACCCTACAGCTTCAGCACGGTATATTTAGGATCAGAATCAAATAAGAGTTTCTCCTTTGAAGACCCACCGTCCTACGAAATTCTACACTGAGTCGCAGATTGGTTATAATCGAATGACGAAAGCTTTGCGTGTTTTCAAGAGAATTGTGACGTTTCCAATACAACAGCAATATTTCGGATACTAACATAATAACCATTCAATCTATTCGGGGTAGCTATTTATCACTGTTCATTTTTGTTGTGTTCAGCTTGGTACATTAAATAATTCATTCATGCTGGTACTTAGTGGCTAACGTAAACGAAAATATGCCTCAGAATTTGAATCTTGACAAAAGTCATGATTAACAGGACGAAAAACAAATCTCAATAAAACATACAGGTAATCGACATCCATGTTCGCTAGTTGAACGATCAGCCACTGTTGCAGTGCATAGCTTTTGGTATAATAATTTATCCAGTGTAGTAACTGTTTGATATCCAGAACTAAATCTTATAAATCTTTGATGACGAAGATTTTTAGAAAAGAAAATGAATACTTAAGTAACAACACTTTCAATTGGTAGGCGAGTGGAATTGTATGAAGCTAACGAATCCAATTTACAGTCGAGAAAAGCCGGGCTTTAAAAGTCTTCGTCCTGTTGGTTCTTATTGGGTGATTCATTCATGAGCATAGTTTCCGCTTTGTTCTCATCCATCCCGAGAGCCATCGTTAGCAGCCGAACCATACACTTGTGCTTTTCCTTTTTGTCTGCACCTGTTGAAGAGGGGGAATTACAATTATAAGATGTTAACAACAATTTATCACGTAAATAAAGACTTACCTTCTTCTGTGACATCCTTTTCGAGCTTCAACTTATCTTGGGCAATCATGAGCATTTCTTCTTCAATCGTACCCTCCATAATCAGCTTATAAATATTTACTGGCTTCGTTTGACCCATTCGGTGGCTTCTGTCTTCGGCTTGCTTATCGTTGTACGGATTGAAATCAATGTCATGGACGATTACCTGGTATTTACAAATAAAAATATAATTTATTCCTTTTATGGAGAGCGATTTTGTAACACCAAACTAACCGTATCGGCTGCCGTCAGGTTGATACCCAGCCCTCCGGCTTTTGTAGAGAGAAGAAAAATGAAAATATTCGGGTCCTGCGTGTACTGATCAATCATTTCCTGCCGATCGGTGACTGCCGTCTGCCCGTCCAATCGTAGGTATTGGTATTTACGGATGTCCAGGTACTTTTCGATGATGTCCAGCATCATTACGAATTGGCTAAAGATCAATACTCGGTGGCCTTCGCTCTTCAATTTCGGCAGCAATTCGTCCAATTGGCGGAACTTACCGGAAGCCACTATCAGCTTATCGGGTATGTGCAGATCGTACAAGCTCTGCAAAATAGAAAGTATCGGCCAATCATATTGGAAAGCAAATGACGCACTTCAACTTACAGTATACTTATCTTTCAGTTGCAACAACTTAAAATCTGACAGGTACGCAATGTCCTGGAACGTTTCGTCGATGTTCTTGTTTTTCCAGTCCGAGTCACCGGCCAGCTTGCGGGCAATTTTTCGTACCTCGGCATCCGAAAAGTAGTATCTAAAAGAAAAATATGTTTGTAACATTTTTAGACAAGTAGGTACCGTAAACTCTTAGGAGAAGTTGATCACTATTTACTATAGTAATATAAACCCCGATGACAAATGTTGTTCTAATGTATGGTACCTATTTAGTTTTTAAATTACATGACTCGATCGTTCCAAAATCCAGATGAATATGAAAACCACACGACAAATAAAGGTACTCAACTCTTTCCCGCCCATGGTTGCTCTGATGTACCACGTCTTTTTTTAGAGTTTACCAACTCACACTCGAGTCGCTCGTGGTTTTGAAATTGCAGCTATTGTTTTCCTCTCAAACACCCGTCCCCACCCTCGCCAACGGGTGGGTTTGGTGAAGAGAATGCTCAATCCGATTCGTACCTTCCTCAAAATTGTCCTTTGCTCGCTTTCTACTTTCAATGTACAATTTTCACACTGCCGTACTACAACGGAACTATCAATTCTATGTAAATCGTTAACTTCACGCATGAAATAATAAAAACATGATTAGTTAAAGAACGAATGTTAGACATCACAAATCTTTATATTTCAGAAATTTCACTTTGTTTTTGATTCATTGTAGATTTTGTGCCTGAAGCTTCCCTAATAAAATGTGTATGATTATTTTGCTTAACGACGTGTTCTTGGTATCATCCAAACCATTTATGGAATAGTTCTAACATTTATGATATTTGTTAATTAGGGTTCCATCTAAGCGAGCGTGTAGGGTAGGACGGGACAAGATCAATCCTCTCCTCAATCCTCAATCAGCACCATTGATGGTGTGAGCACTGTATAGCCTACAGTTTTTATGCTATGTTTATATATGCATTGACGACACGTATGCGTTAAAAAATCTTATGTGAATAATCATTAATGAAACTTTAATTTTTAATGATTAGCTTGCCTAATTTAAAAATTAGTATAAATTATTCCGGTATTTTTCATGCCTTTAAAAAATTTAAAAAAAAATAAGGATCACATAAATTTGTTATCGAAAAATAAGTATGAATCGAATAAGCAACAGCACGTTCCAATTCTAACCTCCATTTCCTCACTCTGCAGAGATCACGAATTTGTTATTAGATCGCGAAATTGAGGCACAGAGAAAATGTTCAAAGTACCGATTTTAGACAGCACTATTTTAGGACAGCAATTTTTGGAGATCTGGGATATATATGAAGCGATGCATTTAGCAACCTGAAGAACTGCAGCTTACACTAATAAAATTCCACACATTTTTATTGACGAATTTCCATGTGAACTTCCACATGATTTTCATGTGGATAACATAAACAGAAGCATACATGAAATTTACGAGTCAAATGAATAGTATGTGGCTTTTATGTGTCCAACACAAAAATTCATGCGTGGGAAACATAAAATTTTTTTTGAAATTTTAGTAGTGTAGAATTAAATGTACATAGATATAAGTTACCCATGAGGATATATTAATAAAAGATCCTTCTCTTCTTTATAGTCGCTGTCGTCTTTTTAATTTGCTCCATTCCTCCCAAGAATAGAATATTCTGTAGGTAACACCTCAAACATAGAAAAAGAATCATAACTCTGTGATCTAGACAACTTTTCTAGATCGCTGTTTAAGGAAAAATCTCATTAATATGGCACAAGGAAAATTTTCCCACAAAATTTAATGTGTCTAGGACTTAACATCCTGATCCTGAATCCTGAACGTTGTTGTTACGTGAAAAATCACGTAGGGTATCTCTTTTTCCTTTACTGTCAATTTTACGTGGCCCTAGTAAACTCTACATGATACCACTTATATGAGGGGTTAGAAGGAAAGGGGTGTAAGTGACTTTGATCGATTCTCTTCATCGACTTTCTCTTTCGTTAATAATTCAGCTGCAAACACATTCCTTGATTCGTGTGCCATTCTGGATGCTATATGAGAACCTCCTTCAAACTATGTGGCAGAAATAGCGCAAAATCTGTTTATAAAGCTGTGACTATCAAAAGAGAAAGTCGCTGAAGAGAATCGATCAAAGTCACTCACACCCCTTTCCTTCTAACCCCCTCATATGTGAACCGAAACTCCTTTCGAAATCGTTAGATTTTTTTAGTGAAGTCTACATGAATTACACATACACAGATTCTATATTCGTTCCACGTAAACCCTAAGTGATTTTCACGTCTGAAAAAAATAAATGAGCTATTCACTCATAGTGCTATACAATATGGCGCTAGTATACATGCCATTGAAATCCAGATTGGTTTGGTCTTTACTGAGATAATTTCGAGTTGCAAGTATAATTAATTAAAATTTTACATAGAGATTAATTTAAGTTGTTTCTTTTGACGTAGGACTACGTCTTTAGTTTCTATACTGGGGGTCACATTCACACAGTGACCTATTGAAAATTAATAAAGTGTTCATTTTAGTAGATAGGTAGATAAATTTCAAATCGTTTGGGTTGTTTAGAATTAAAATCCATATACTATTGACAGAGTTATATGTGGTCAAAACCTGACCTCTTTTCGTAATGTGGTCGATTTTGGTTTTTTGAAATTGCACCCCCAATATGTTGCCGAAAGACGTAATCCTACGTCAAAATCAAAATTCAGACATGTAACGAGAAATCCCAAACATGGACGCAACGATAGAGCGTAAACCGAACACACGACACATTTCGCATGCTCACATGAGCGAGCTCAATACTCGGTTGACCACTCATCTTTTCACCAATGAAAGGAAGGGAGGAGAAAAGCAGCGATAATAAAAACGCTTGCCATATCGTTTTCTTCGTCGTCTGATAGGACTAGGAACTCTAATTAACAATAATTGAAATTTAAAGTTAAAAAGACGCATCTGTGTCACTTGATAAGTTTTACATGTAAACCACACAAATTCAAGAAATATAGATCATTTAAAGTCAAAAGTAAAAAGTCTAAGTTTGCTTCGTCATTTGCGTTTGAACAACGGACGGATAATCGTCGGAGACGACGTATGAGCGCAACAGCACGCATCGCACCAATACAAAGACGACGACGACGAAAACACCCACATCGATCGGAGGAAAGGCTTTCTGCAATAGGCAGGATGACTAGGCCGCCGTCATCGGGTCGACTTGCACTGGTTTGGCCACAATTTGAAAAACTTCATGGGGTTGTACGCAATGGTGACGTAGGACTATGTGGTCTTATATAATAAATCTTATTTGTTATCTGCAGCAGGAGCTTGTGTTTTGTGTAGAAATATGAGTTTGAGCAAGGTTCTCTCTGTTTATACTCTTTAGTATGACGCACTTGACATAGATGGCCCACAGCGACTCACGAAGAGCTACTGATTCCGATCAACAGCGGTGCGCCTTCTTCCTCCTTCCATGGATGTCCGTGTGGGCTGCAGCTTGCTGCTTGTAGGCAGCCTTTCGTTGTGTACTGGAGGACAATGTTCAACGCCACGCACCGAAAGTACTGCTGCTGCTGATGACATCATGATGACCGGAAACCACCACACACGGTGATTGGAACTGAATCCGATCAGCGGTTGAGGCTAGCCTTGATAGCTAGCTGCTTGCGGGAAGCCTTTTGTTGCATACTGAAGAACACCACCACTCACCACGCAGTGATTGAATAAACATCGTTTGGTGAGACCGGAGAATTCAACTTTGAAATCTGTGTTAGGGAAATCGTATTTTGCAGGCAATCGGTGATAATTTTAATTATCAAAGCATTTGTGCAATTTTCAATAGTGACACTTCGAGAAATGATAAAGCCTTAAATTGCGTAGGAATATTTCTGAGCGATTGGTGTTAACATTATTGAAATTGGTCCTTGGGAAGCTGAGTTATTAACGTTCAAAATCTTTCATAATTTGGTTACATGTTCCATTTTCGGTTTTCACAAAGTGTACCCCCATATAGAAATCACAAACGTAGTCCTACGTCAAAACAACCACCCCTTTTCAGGGCCACCAATTCAAAAAAGGAAAGAGTTAAGAACTAAATTTTTTTTTTTTTTAGAGTTGACCAATTGCAGTCTTAATAGGCTAGAATCTCGGTTGGGCTCTCCATGCGATACACAATACTTTCAGACGACTCGAGCTATGGTGCTCGCTAGGTCACTGCAGCTTTTAGGCTCGTATTGTGATCAACTGTGTGTATTAGATTACGACCATAAATCCGGAGAACCCCGAGATCTGGGCGCAATCGCCCCTGCAAACAAACACGTCAATCGTCGGCCTCCCGCGAACAAAAGAACAATCCTGCAAACAAACTATAACAAATCATAGAGGAACTATTCTTCTACCTGTTTGTGTTATTAGTTTTTCCAGACTGAGCCCCAATCCGCGAGAAACCGACAAATGACGTGCCCATCTACAAAAGCAACTACGCTCCAACCTCGAAGCTCTCCGGAAATATGTGATAAATCATGTAAATGTAAATGGAATGCAGTAATGTCCCGATTTTGTCAACCCCTTTTTTTGAAAATGTTTTCCAATGTTCTACAAAACCCATGCCCTGTTTCAGCAATCTTCTTGAACCTATTGCACCAAAGTATGCTTTAAATATCCCTCTTAACGAATGACGAATGAGAAAAATTTAGATTTATGATTATGTGAAATTATTGAAAGAAAGAAATCTGAAGCGCGGAGGGGCTGACAAAATCGGAACATTACTGTATTTAAAATAAATAAATTCATTCTTACATTTTTATGGTTGTTTGATAATTAATTGCTATTATTACCTGCTTAGAGTTGGCTCCTTTAAAATACTGTGTAGAATTTACCTCATTATTCCTCAGTTCTATCGATTTGTGATAGAACCACGCTCAGCATATTATCCTGTAGTACGACTTGGGCATGCACCATGCAAGTAAGTCATCTCTCGGCAAAATGATGGGATATGGGGTGATGGTGAAGGGATATAGAAAACGAATAAAAGAACAGAAAGAAAGGTATTAGTATTGGTTACATTAACCAACCCCCCCTCCCCTCACACACACACACACACACACACACACACACACACACACACA